AGCAAAATTGTAACTGCTAAAAATTTGGAAAGGAAGGAATGCTGATAATCAGACAGTAAAGTTGGTAAACATGTTACTACAGCTACACAGCATTTCTCGCTGGAAGGTAAAAATTTGAATTTCAAGGAAGTTTTCGGCAAATTTTTGCCAACAAATCGTTACGTACTTTAGGAAATCCAGTATTAAAATAATACCAAGCGGTATTCATCTTTGACTCTACCAAATTATAAGTAATTCCGTATAGAAATATCTCGGTAGCAAATTGTTACGGAACGGTATAATTTTAATACCAAGCGCCAAGCGGTAACAATTTTAATACCGAGAAAACAATACATGCGTGGCTATACCAGATTCCTAACAGTTTATGGAATTAAAGCTTCAAATTGTTTACACTTCGCAACAATGTGTTACCAACTTATTTTGATACCAAATAAATTTCAACCGATCATTCTGTTCTGATACCATTTCTCGCCAAGCTTCGATATCTTGACGAACCAAATTTTTAAATCCTTTCGTCGCGCTCCACATGACGATCGTCAATACGAGCATGAGCGCGTCATTGAAAAATGCGAAGAATTGACGAAAGCAGACTCCAAAGAAGCACATGCAGCCCAGAATATAGTCGCCTGTGTTGGTCTCCTCCCACGATGGCGTGACCGACATGTTCCACTCTGACTTCAGGAGGTAAACGTATCTCCCCGAATAAATGTACCTCCGCAGAATAAAATCCAGCGAGATATTCTGGTTTATCATTTTTACGTCGATTACGTTGATGCAAAATATGATGTCGACGAGGGCATTGATCAAAATTATTAGGCAGATCGTGACGGCGGAAAATTTCGAGGTTATCTGTGATAAAAATAAGAAATCCAGTGTTTCACTTATTGCAGTGTAAAGCAAGAAAGGCAAGAAATACAAGGCGCAAAAATGCAAGAAATATGCGCTATCTAACAATAAGTAGCGACGAACCGGCTCCCTATGAACTATAGCGGCGGAAAGTAGTTTCACGTGCCTTGTGTTTCTTGCAGGTCGAAATATGTAGGTACAAGAAACCATTTTCCTGCCGTTATTTCATGCAATTTTTTTACCTGCACCATAAAGACTGAAGAAATTTTTAGAGATAAAATTGTTCTGGTATCAAATTTCCAGGATATTATGTAGTAAAAACGGATGTATGTTTTGATCCATACCCTAGATTTCTGAAGTAAACAGGTGTAGTACTGATGTTCCTCTAGAAATTGAACAATTTTGAGGTACCGCTTCTTCGCGAACCAAAGCGAGAGGATAGTTCCAATCTTGTACACGTGCTTTATCACTTCTGCAATCAATTGGAAGTATAAGGTGGGGTTGGTGCTGATCCCGTGCCAGATTCTGGTCAGAGGCACTTGCCTCGATTCAGCGAAATATTCCAAGAGGAGCAAAACGTGGGCAATTCCACAGAATACCTGGATAAATGTATACATATACATATTTATATTTTTTAAATTCTTCATATCACTGCACTCTTAGAAATCCAGTATTAAAATAATACCAAGCGGTATTCATATACATTATACATACATATGTATGACTCTAGCGAAATGATTTTGATAAATGACACGGTGTAGTTAGTAACAGCTCAATATTCAAGTTTTGTCATATCTGTAATAAATTTTTACGGAACGGTGTAATTTTAATACTAAGTGGTAGCAACTTAACACCGAGAAATCAAGACCTACCAGATTTCTAACAGTGAATCTATGCACTATAATTTTAATTACTTGCTGGTACACGTTGGTGTGGATGGTTAATACGGATGTATTATTAAGATATCGTTTCTTAAACCGGAATGGAAACAGGAACAAGTAGTAGCCGCAGTGAAAAAAGATTTGAATAAATGTGGCAGCTCTGTTAGGATTTTCATAATTTAGTGTAATTCCTTCTAGGAAGAAATTTTGTTTCATTTTTGGACCGAGCACGTACATAATTCGGGAAGGTTTGGAAAATGATAAAGGTCACTGGAGAAGTAGGGAAAAGTTTCTGACTAATGTAATGATTTGGTCGAGTGACCTACTTAACGCTGTTTAAAACGACTTGTGTAAAATTTTCAATGTCAAGTAGTAATTTGGTAATGGAGTTATGTATGTATGTACATACTTCAGTAAATAGTAGGTACATATTACTTCAAATCGGTAAAATTTTTGAATTTGCTGCACTTTTGCAATATTTTAAACCAATTACGTAGCAGTTGTCTGTTTCTGCATATTGATAATGTCACACAAATGCATTTATCTGAGTATTCTTACCCCGGAGATTAGGTATTGTAGATGTTTAGCATGTTAATAAATAGGTAAAACCTATTCAACCTTTGAGCAGTTAAGTATGTATTAAAATTTCTAAAAGGTTCTTAAAAGGTTTTTTTGTTACCCTGAACACACCATAGAATAGTAAGAAATAGAAGAAGCACTCTGCTCTTTGTTAAGCAAGTAAGGGGATGACTCTCCACCTCACATACGAGAGGTCGCCAGATGCCCTCAATGTTAAACTAAATGGCAAACTCGCAGAGTTAACTCCTACTCCATCTGTTATGTGAGGTGGAGCATCTCTTTCTGTATCTTCATATCGTGGTGTGGTTAATTATTCCTCGCTAGAGCCCTCACTAACACTATCTCTTACGCATTTTGTATTTACCAATGCTGAGATCCTACCCATTGGATCACACCTACACACATATCCATACATATATGCATGCATACGTATGCATGTATATACATAATAATACATATTTATGTTGCATGTATGGACACATTGTACACAAGCCATTAATACAGATTTTACATATTTACGTGTGTACATACGTAATACATAATATGCATACATATTATGTACAGTGGCCGTGAATGCGTGGGGGGGGGGGGGTATACTTGATGTCAATAAGTCCCGATATCCTTCTTCAAATGTTCCCATGTCGACATCTTCCGCCGCCACTGCATATGTTTGAGAAGCACTCGTAAATATGTATATCGAAGGCATGTTAACACATAATCCCATAAGTTGTCTAATCAAACACATTTGTTGGTAAGGTGAACATACACACTTAAAGTACTCAAAAATTGTTGTGTTCGATCAAAGCTTTTATAGTACAAACATGATAAAACTACGTATTATATATCATGCATCCAATAGAAAATTGGCAGCAAATATAGTCACATGCATATGTACATATGTATGTAAATATGCATAATATGCAGATTTATTTAAATTTACATTATGTAGATTGCATTACTGGCATAATATGCCAATAACGTAGAATTTTTTTGTACGTACATACGTGCTTATACATAGCATGCCCAAGCTAACTGGGAGTGAAATTAAACGCTGTGGCTTCAACAGTTTTTGCTTTACAAACTTCTAGTTAATTTTAATGGAAAGCCAGTTAATTTCTGATTGTGAGTAGCAAACAATTTTTAGTTTTTGAAATTTCCTCCCCCTGCATTAATGCAGCGCTGAAGACGCTGCCTCCAGTTCTCGATTGGTGCACGCACGAAATCCTTGGACAAATTGTATCATTCTGTGGTCAAAGATTTTTTTAAACCTTCTACACGTCTGTGAGGCTTAGACCACACCTTCTGCTCTAACTTTGACCATTTTTCATAATCCGGGGATTTAAATACAGCCAGAGTGACGGTCATTCCGAAGTGGAGATATAGTGCAGAATTTAGTTTTTTAGCCACGCTTGCATCATTTTTTCCACTATTTGGTGATGCCGAATCCTTCTGGGAGGTCCAACCGATTCCATTGAACTGGATCTCATTGAGGGGATGCACTACGAACTCAAAAACGTATTTTAAGAAATTTGATCCCCCCACCTTCCCCCCATCTTCAATGAAATGTAGAGGAATCATCCCAATTTGCTCCCACCTACTAAAACCATCATAAAATCTGGATAATATGCCTTTCTGACCTTTTGTCTATATTGGGAGATATCTTTGACCGATTTTGCGTAGATTAGGTCTACTCGTTTGTTAAAAGATTTTTCACATGTCAAAATCTCATCGCCTTTAAAAAAAATCTTCTCCACCTTTTTGTTGCGTACCGCTTGAGGAGAGCTCTTCATTTCTTAAGTAGGGCTATGTTGGTGGGTATCATCAAGGGGTGGCAAGTACTACATTTGAAAGCCTTAAGCCTAAGGTTCAGTTTGAGTACTCATTGGATAATCTGCGTGAACAATGTCAGCCGTGAGGCTATTTTCCGTTGAAATTTCGTAGATTTCTTCGGATTCTGTCGTTCAGCGCCTTCACGGTGGGTGTGGTCCTTGGAGGTTTTGAAAAAATTCTTCTTCGACTGTACTTAGTCGAGTTGGTCCCCATGAACGTTTTTCTAGCTCGTTTGACTAAATTAAAGTGCACGTTCAATTCATGTCACACTTTTAAAATTTGCTATTTCTGTTCCCATTTTTTTGATGAAAAATTATCGCCGCCCGCGTTCCTTTCATATTTTCCCTGTTGATATGCTTTGCAATAATAAAAAAATCGATTATCGGCATTTATGCAAAATCGCACGAGGAATCCAATGCACTTATCAGATTTTCATTATCTCCAGCGGTATCGGGGTAAAGAGCTACTACCAGTTACCTTGGGCATGCTATGTAGATACTACCGAAGATTAATTTACTATTATTTGTTAACTGATTTCTATATGTTGAAATGTTGGACTATTTTTACAACAAATTTAATGCATGATTGACTCATGAGGTTATGTATTTATCATAGTTCACTATCCTAGTTCACTATTGCCATCTAATAGTGACAGTGATCGATTCATGGATATGATTTATTACACAATTGTTATATTATATTTAGTTACGTAATAGCATATGTAGAATTATTACTTTGACCCCCGTGAAAGAGAAAGACACGAGAGAAAAGTGCGACGTATGTACATATTTGCTAAATATGTTAATCTACAACAGGGTAAGATTATTACACCAATTAAAGAAATTGCGCAGCTGGCCACCTAAATGTCACATTTCCGATCAGATACCTATTTATTTGTCATTTTTCCTCAATAATATTTGCTTCTGTCAGAAGAAATGATTTATTCGGATTTTATCTTCCGATGATAAAAATGTAAATAATTTATGTTCGTATGTATGTACATATGTACATAAATGTATATGTTAAGAAAAACAGGAGAATGGTCATCCTGGCATGCATCATAAATTGCATAATAATAGTAGTACAAAGTCTTAGTGAGTGGTCAGCGTCTCACCGGATACATTTTGTCGAAATGTGGGAAAAAATGGAGAAACCTCATGAAAGAATTGCCCTCACATATTCCAGTATTTTCGTCCCATTCTACAAACTTCTAAAATATCTTGGCGTTTTTCCGTACTCCTTCGAATTTCACGCTGTCCCGGAAAACCACGCCGGACGACGCCCACTCAGTAGAGTAATTTACGCTCGTACCGAGATTTGGGCGATTTTACATAAAATTGTGATTATTTTCTACACGACTAATTCAATCTATCAAGTATTTCAATTGATTTGGAACCTGATATTTCCAAGTAGCGATTCGAGCGCGCTTTTAATCCTGGCCACGTGGTCGCTAGCGTCTGTTTTGGGGTTAATGGTGGCCCTCAAATATTGGAAAGATGGCGATTCCATTGTCAAATGGATGACGGATATGAATACTTTGGAGTCAGATATTTATGGTAATACAGAAATGCACACGATTAGTTATTGAAAACTTGAATTTTTTTACGGTTTTCACATAAGACTAGATGACATGACTTATCACCGAAATTGTCAAAATCGCATTTTAACTCACTCCTCGTCTCTGGGAATTTATTTAAAAATTCTGTACGACAAATTTGTAGTCAGTAAGTTAATTAATACAATGGCTCTGCGTTTTCTAATTAAGGTGAACCCGTTTCGACGAGTTCCAATTTTTCTGAAGGCATTGAAGCTTGAAATCTTCAGAAACTGTCCAAATCTGGAGTATGAATTTCTAAAAAAGTTACGATTTGCCCTACAAATTTTGTCGTTCAGAATTTAAAAATAAATTCACAGAGCCGAGAAATGATTAAAAATGTTATGATTCTGGCGATGGGTCATCGAGTCTCATGTTAATGATTGACAAATACTTATCCTCGTAATAATATAATAATTGTCCTCTTATTTTTCCCTTTCCCAGAAAACTACAAATCTAAGGGCCCCACCGTTTCCACCATCATTCAAGGACACCACGCCGAATATCGCCGCGGAATAGTTAGCCTCATCTCTTTCGTCATAATCGGCAGCTCGGCCATCGCCATGCGACACTTTGGCGATCCCAACTCCCCAATTTTCATTTACAGCGTGCTCCCCCCACATTGGGCCTTGTTCGGCTTTTCTGTCGCCTTCCACGCCCTCGTGGTCGCGGTCGAGCTCGGCTTCGTGATCCAATTCGTCATGGGCATCCTCGACTTTTGCCGCGTTGTCGAATCCTGCCTGACCATTATTTCTTATCGGCACGATAACAACGAGGAAGAAAAGGACGCCATTTCATCGTTTTCCATCCTCCTCGAAATGGACGAGGCTGCCCAGTACTACAAAAAATTGGGAAAATTGATCCACGACACGAACCAGCTGTTCGGCTGGATGGTGGCCACCCAGCTGGGCGGGTATTCCGCGATGGGGTGCCTGGTCGCATTTCTGCCGATTTACTACTGGAAGGCGTCGACCACGTTGACCTTATCGGGCTACATTTTGCTCCTGGTTTTCATGGTGTTTCTGTTTTGCAGAGTGTTTCCCAACGTGGGCGGGTTGTTTGACGCGTCGAAGGAGTTTCAGCTGGGCTGGCTGCGTGGCGTGGGGTACAGAAGGGACGCCTTACGCGTGGTGGGGGGTGAGGAGGGGAAGTATTTTAAATTGGTGAGGTTAAGGTTGGACACGTGCGTACCGTTTGGGATCCGGTGTGGGCGGTTCTTCTATATCAGGACGTCCACGATGTTAACGTTTTTCTCGGCGATGTCCACTTATCTCATTATCATGTTGCAGTTTGGAAATAAATTTTATTAGGGAGATTTATGTAACTTATCCTCGGGCAGAGGTGCATTAGCTGATTAATTGAGAGGTTAATGTTAGGTTTATCCCCCAAGGAAACTGTAATTTTCCCCGACCAAACCAATAATTTCTCAAATAATGAAATGTCCAATGGGCTTAATTTTTTTTATCTAACCAAATCAGCAACTTTACAGCTAAAAAATAAAATCAACGTCTCCAAGAGCTCGCTAAAAATAAAATTCTGTTCCGATCTTGATAATTCTTGCACTATTGTTAGTCCAAGATATGTAGTACTGTTTTACATTGTAGAATGTTGTAGGAAGTGGGATTATTGAAAAGATCTCAATTTCCTGAGAGCGTTAAAATAAATTGTGTTAGAATAAAACCCAAGCGTGGTCGAAAAAAGTTTGAAAAGCAAGAAACACAAAAACTTCATTATTTATTTTAAATCTAATTATTTCGTAACAAATACATTGCTTGGACCTTTATGATTGGGAGAACTATTAATTCTGAATAACAAACAATTTCGTTATATTGTTGAATTGGCATCCGTTAATTTTCTCATGCATATAAATAATCAAATAATTAAGAACAAATATATTTTCGAGTTAAGAAAATTTTAATGGCACGAAGAATGTCGAAATTCATGTAAAAATAGAATAAAAGTGAACACAATTATGCAGTCGGTTCAAGTCACAAAGTGATAAATTCATATATTTCAAATTCTCACGTCAATTAATTAGTCCAACTAATGAGCAATATTACCCAATCGGGCTAACGTCGACACTACCACCATCACCATTTTCGAAGCTGAGTTTTCGAGCCACGTTGAGCCGTTGCTTTTTTTCAAGACGACGACGACGAGCTGCCGCCCGCAGGCTGCTGTCTCCAAGGAAGATTTCTGGCGAAAGTTGCATCGTCTTTCGTACTTCCAAGGAGCCACCACTTGGCGGCGGAGTACTTGGGGCCGATGGCGGCGGTGTAGTTGACCTTTTGCCGGAGGAGCTCGAGCTGGTAAGTTGGTGGTAAACCGTCCCAGCCGGGGGAGAACTTTCCGGTCCTTCTAAATTCACGGGAACATATTTATTAATTCATACATTCGACAAAATAAGGATGAATTCACGTCACTCTTCGAAAGTTCGTAAACACGCAAACTTACGAACCAAAAACATGTTTCTTACTTCGTAAGGTTTTGAAAGTTCTTAAACATAAATTGCCTTCGACATGTTCGTAAGTTTACGTGGTTACGGACTTACGAAAGGTGACAAGAATTGTCTCAATAGAATTTACGTACCATGATCAGTCAGGTGATGCAGGGTCTCCTCATGCATCAATTCCAGGGCGGCTGCCACGTCCGTCGAGATCTTGCGGGATGATTTTTTCACCTTCGATGATCGAGGGGGCCAATCTACCTCCGGTGAGAGATCATCAATGTCGTCTTGTTCGTCGTCATCCGTCGTCCCGCCTTCGTAGTAGACGTCCGCCTGAATGAAGTAAATTAATAATTAATTACTTCATCCTCCGACATATGAAAAATAGTGTGCAATCAATATTTGACCTGGTTATTCCGCGATGACCTTGGTGTCCTTTCGAGACGCTTCGTCTCTCCAGAGATTGGAGAAACATTAGGCGACTCAGGCTCGTCGTTTTCCTTGCCGGAATACTAAACAAAATAATAGAGGAAATTATGAAATAATTTATTTAATTATGCAAATGAGACGAGAGAAAAATGAGTGACAAATTATTCTTGGCTTACGCGACTCAACCTGTCCCGGCGAGGTCCAGTGGTCACTTCCACCATGATGTCGTCACTCATGATTGATATTGATAAGATGGAACGAGGAAGTTAAAAAAAACAGCGGATTTGGCGGAGATGAGATGATGAGTGTGAAGTGGTGGATTTATTTTGCCTCGCCGCTGAGGCTGGGGCAGGCTTTAGTCTCCCTTTACCCCCGTAACGATAATGATAAAAAATGAGCATTTTTTTATTAATTCTCAATTAACGGGAGGAGGCGGATAATTTATAGCTAAATAATGACTGAGTTTCAACTATGATTAACATAATTATAATTTATAAAAGATATTTATAAACGGGTTAGGGACCAACAAAATAAAATGAAATTATTATCTAGCTCGTCTTTAATTATCGTTAGAGTTGCATGAATTTAGACAAAGCCAAATAATCTTCAGCCTTGAAAGATCACATATTTCCTTTGGGACCGTTATGCATTTTTTAGATTGTGAATTTAATTGACTAATGAACCACCAAATACCGATGTTCTTCAATTCGGCTTCAATTTTATAATTTAACTTGTTTAGAGGCCTATTGGTTAGTATAATTATCGCGATATTTCCTGTAATTCTTCTTGACAATTATAGTAAATACATCTAGGTACTAATTGGACAAGGTTGCCCTTTCTCGTATAACGGTGCAGCATATATTCAACATTTATGGAAATTGAGTTGCAAATTTAATAAAATTGCATGTGGTACGATTAACAAAACCGTATGGAAATCAAATACACTTATATTTACTTGATCTGAATTTACAACTACTCAATTATCTGTTACGAGTAAATTTCTGCATTTGATCATGCATGAATTTTAAATGCGTGCATTACTATTTCGGTAGTAAATACAGCAAGTTATAATAGTCTAGCGGACAAATTATTCGTTTCGTTAGTCAATTACATAACCCACAAGGTTTTGTATAATTTAAAAAAAAACAGAATTTAAGTGTTGTCTGAGGATTAAGTATATACATACGCTACGCCCTAAAAAATCAAACGTGAATACATAGGTGGTAATAAACATGCTTGCTCTTGGTCACCGAGGTGGGTGACCAAGCGGTGATTCTGCTGTAACCGAGTGGTGACATTTATCACCATTCGGTAAAGCCACACGTATACTCACTACTCACCGGTCGATAGTAATCCGGTTGTCAAATTTCTTAGAGGGTAAATATACGACATATTCTGACATGTAGATATTTATATGCAACCTTTAACTCTATTAAATTGAGGAGCTAGTACTCAAATTAATAGTCAAATTACGAGTACTCATAAAAATAAACTATTTACTTTCGTATAAAATGTGAAATTTCTGCGCAGGAAAATATATTTTCAAACGAGTACAATCTTGCCAACCCTAGCGATTTTACGCGAAGCTGTCCAGTTTACAAAAAAAACACGCAAAATGTATACCGAATACCTTCCCAAAATTTTGCACCATTCTTTCCTTATAGCAGGATCCATTGGTGCGACAAGTCTACATTTCAACGAGAAGACGAAAATGTTTTATATAACGAAAAAATCCCGGAAAATGTCGAAATTCACGCTAATTTTCTTAATGGGGTCTACTTTATTTGCCATTTTAAGAACGTTAGAGATTTTATTTTGCAAGGGCGGTTTTTCAAATGAAGATTTTGACATTTGCTACGCAATATCGTTTGCAATGGTGCTGGTGAATTCTGTGGCGTTGGTGGATCACTGGAAGCAAGATGATCTTTGTCACATGTTCAATCAACTTTTGGCCTATGGACTGAAATTTAGACGTAGGTCGATTAATTGATTAATACATATTTAAATAATTATCAGGGTATTTTATCCAGGTAAATGGATGACTAAATCGTACAACCCAAACACAATGAACTGTCTACAGGGCAAGATGTTGGATACGTGGATACTCGTATTTTGGATTATGTCAGCATTTCCACTCTTTCTGGGTGTCCCATTCTACTTTGCAAATACAAATTTGCCAATTTTCCCTCCCTCAATGCTACCTAGTGCAAATGTAGGTGAAATGTGGGACTTTAATCTTAAGCAAAACCACTGGATCAGCATTGCATTAAGCTCCATCTTTATGTTTATTACGTTATCAATTGGGCAGATATTACTTTCCAACACAACCTATGCCTTTCTATATGCATGTAAGTTAACAAGCTAACGCATAATAATAAGTTTAACAGTGTGTAAGTTAACTTCAAATTAACGTCGGACTTGACAACTCATCGTCAAAATCAGCACATTATTAATCAGATTGGGGCGAAAGTTTCGCCCCAGTCATTTCGCAATGGCGTTTCGTCAATAGCAGAACTTCTTGTCTTTGGCTTGGCTGGTTAGCTTGGCTTCAGTTTCGATAGCGTAACATTTGCTAAATATTCTCTAAATATTAAAATTTTGCTTGCAGTTTCAGTCGTTTCCTTAATTAAATTCGAATTTCAAGTACCTTCTGGAAATCAGGGGAAGAAATCCAACACATACAATTTACTTCGAACGGTGAAGTACCTCCCACACGAGTATGCGTGCGTGCAGTTGTTGCATCAACGGGTTAATGACAGCTTCGGAAATCTTATGGGGATTTTGCATGGTGAATTTCTCAACTTCATTATTTCTTGTTATGTCATCTTGGCGCTAAATTGGAACTTGATGGATATTTACGCTAAGGTATATTTATGCGTTGATAAATAAACGTATGTACGAATATCATAAATACATCGTTGATCTGTTTAGAATTAAATTCATAGTTTGTAAACTTTTGCGAGTAGCGAAACGGTACTGCTCCGATTCAACTTCAATAATGCCAGTATGTAATGATGCTGAAATTTATGTAAGATTTCAGCGTTAGCGGAACATTCGTTTAACCGGAAAATTATGAAACTATAGAATCTTCTCACATTAGAAGAATCTCAACCATGTGGTTGAGATTGATCGCATTAAAACTGGGACGTTTGGTGACCAAAATGTCGTACAATACAAAGTACTATGAAATTAATTGCGATTAAGCTATTATATTTAACCCTTTACTTTTATCTTTATCCTCACGAAAAAATATTTAGATACATATTTTTACACATTGATACATGTCTATTTATTATTTACTCAGATGCAACTTCTCGTCCCGTCAATTACATCTCAACTCTGCTGGAGTATAGGGTTGAAAATTGCTGGTTCTTTTTACAAAAGCCTAAACGCTATGCTAAAATCGTGGCGAAATTTGCACCATAAGTCACCAGAAGAAATGAAATACTTTAAAAAGTACGCGAAAACTTGCCAACCCTTAACTTTTGGGGCACCAGGAGTCTTCACTATTAAGCGATTAACGGTCCTAACCTTTTCAATGAACGTATTTAAAGGGACATTCAAGGCGGTGCTTGCCCTTCGAAGGGCGAAATGAATGCATGCAACATTTTGTTCGTACTAATTTCTTGGGATGTCAAATGCAAATTATGTGTTTAATTTCTTTTATCTATGGATTGTAAATTTGTACTTGTGCTCCTGTGTTTAATGCTAAAAGTTGTACTTGCACAAAAAATAAAAAAACAATTTTTGAGACAAATAAAATTTTTTGTTAGTCTCGATCTCTGCCTTGATGTGAGAATTCACGAACATGGCTATTCTCTATTCCAAATAGGAAGACAGATGGCTACACAATTTTTGTGAAGCACAAAGGTTTTTTCCAAGTGGGGTCAATTTGTACAATATGAGTACGTATTTTGAGGTGCAAATGGATATTTTAAAAGCGTTGGACATGTTTTTGTGCTGCAAAAAATTGTACAGCCAGCTGCCTTGTTATTTCGGGAGGATAATACATTGGTTTTTAATGCATGAAGTTACATAAGTGTATGTTCACAAATGATAAAGCTCGTCGTTCAGAAATGAATTAGCACTAATGCATTAGTGCTATTTCATTGTGAACATTACGATGTTCACGAGAATAAAATTTCCACGTTTTAAAATGGCGTTAAAGACGTCATTTAAAGATAGGTAAAAGATGATTTCGTTCCGTGTGTGTGGCGTTTTTTTATTAGGCTTGTCATGTGTTTTCATATTGTTAAGGTGAAGGTGAATTTTAAAATTTAATTTTAAAATTCATGGGGTAATTTCATTCGAATGAAGAATTTAAGCATCTATTGTTAAGAGTGGGGCGGACTTGAAAATTGCAGTCTGTAACTGAACACCTAGTTAAAAAGATCGTCCTAAGGTAATATGGAATGAATTTGGACGAAATAATTTTCAGCTCTGAAAGATCTCATACATATATGTATATATTTCGTTTGTTACCGTTATGTATTTTTTCGACGTGTGACCTCTTGGATACCAATTACACATATTTGTGTAACGAGTTTTTATCGCTTGACAACCAGAAACAACTATTTTTCCAAATGTTAAGTACTTTGCCTACCATGTTACTTTACACACGTTTGTGTAGCAAGATTATTTCTCGTACGTACCAAAGTATTTTTGAAAATTTTACGTTGTCCGGCATTTTACAACTCGATAAATTTTTTAAAATCCCCGATATACATACGTAACTACACACATTTGTGTAACTGGTGTTACGCAATGGAGAACGATCTCGTGCATGACATTGATAGCTAATCGAAATAATTTTGCTACACAAATATGCAAAATTGGTAGGCAAAGGAATATTTCGAAAAATGGGTTGGTAGTCAAGTAATAACAAACCATTACACAAATTTGTGTAATTTGGGTGGTACGTAACGGAATATTCCTGAGAATTAACTGGTAGCAATGAGGTTAATAAACTAATGAACTCATAAAGACAAATGTTCTTCAATTCAGCAAAATTTTATAATTTAACTGTTTTAAAAGGCCTATTATAAATAGTCAGTATAATTATCGCGATATTTCTCGTAATTCTTGACGATTATAGTGCAGCTATAAGTTGGAGCTTTCTGGTTTAACGGTGCAGCATATACATATGTATATACATATTTAAACATTTATTGGAATTGAGTTGCAAATACAAAAAATTGCATGTGAATTTACAGCTACTTAATTATTACGATTATGTATACATATTTCTGCATTTGGTCATGCATGAATTTTGCTGAGCAAATTGCTCCATTTGTGAGTCAATTAACTGACAAGGTTTAGTATACTTACCTAACTTTAAAAAACACACAGAACTTGATCCGTTGTTAAGGATTACATAAATATTTATACACACTACTAAAAAATCTTGTGACAAACGTGACTATAT